TTTGATAAAATAGGTATATAATGTGGAAAAAAATATTATGGAATTAGTGACAAAATTTTCCATTCCTAAAGAAGGTTTTTTCGTCTTACTTGGCTTAGGTGGAAGATTAATTTTGTTATGAATTTTTTATTTCGTCACTAAATGAATTTGTCATGATAAAAAGTATTGTCACATTTTGTCACTATTACCCTCAATGTGTGACGATTTTTTTTTCACATTATTTCATCTTTTTTAATGATAAATTTGTTTTTGTCTCTATTGGTAGCTTCTTTGACGAAAAATTTTCGTCTTTGTTTATATTAAACATAACAAAATTATTTCGTCTCTATTTCTTATATTTATGATAAAATACTTTCATCTCTAATTTCTTTCATTAATGACAAAATATTTTGTCGCTAATTACTTATAAGTATGTTCCCAACAGAGTGTATTGGAGACAAAAAAAAAATTCATCACAAATTTATCATTTTTAATGATGAATTTGTTTTTGTCTCTATTGGTAGCTTCTTTGACAAATTTTTTTTGTCTTCGTTTATATTAAACGTGACAAAATTATTTCGTCTCTATTTCTTATATTTATGACAAAATACTTTTGTCTCTAATTTCTTCTTTAATGACAAAATATTTTGTCACTAATTACTTGCAAGTATGTTCCCAATAGAGTGTATTGGAGACAAAAAAATTCGTCACAAATTTATCATTTTTAATGATGAATTTGTTTTTGTCGCTATTTGTAGTTTCTTTGACAAAAAATTTTCGTCTTCGTTTATATTAAATGTGACAAGATTATTTCGTCTCTATTTCTTATATTTATGACGAAATACTTTTGTCTCTAATTTCTTCTTTAATGGCAAAATATTTTGTCACTAATTACTTACAAGTATGTTCCCAACAAAGTGTATTGGAGACAAAAAAATTCGTCACAAATTTATCATTTTCAATGACGAATTTTTTTTTTCGTCTCTAAGACCCTTTAGCGACGACCCTTTGGAGACAAAACGGGTGACGAAAAATGTTCGTCATAATTAGTTTGGGTGACGAAATATATACATTTTGGGACAAATTTGTTTCATCTTTAAATCCCAAATTTGTTGTAGTGAGTTGATCAATTTCCACCGGGGTTTTGGTGTTCATTCTGAACCTTGTTACGAACGCCTCCGCCAATTGTGCTCAGGTGATTATGCTGCCTTCTGGAAGTTTTTCGAACCAAGTCAAGCCTACGTCACCAAGGCATGATGGGAAGAGGATGCACATCAAAGCCTCGTTTCGTTGATATACCGCCATAACCTGGCGGAAGTGGCTTAGGTGCATGTAAGGGTCTGTCTTCCCTTCGTACATGGTAAATTTAGGCTGGATGAAGCCTGAGGGTAATGATGCGCTCTCAATTGTCGGAACGAACGGCGAGCTATGTAGTCTTGCCAATGCTTATTTGTTGGTTCGTAGGCAAGGTGTGGTACTGGCATTCCAACCTCGACGCTTCCATGCGTCCGAGGAGCCAATCACCGAAGGGCTGAAAATCTGTGTGGGTCGCGTGCCCTGGCATCCTCCTTCTGTCGCGCCCTTTCTTCAAGCACGGTCCGTAAGTTGACGATCTAGGCAATTCCGTTTGCCTGGATGATGTTTGGTGCGAGTGTGAGGGCCGATAGGTACTTCCCTCTGTGTAAGACCTTAGTGATCTTGTTCTCTCAGACCTGGAGTAACGAGTTCTAGAAGTCCCTGATTGAGTGTCGCTCGTCCTGAGGTTTCTACTCTCTGCTTACGATGTCGTGGTATGCCTGCTACGATCTTCTGAGTGGCGAGGAGGCGCATTGCCTTTGCGCCTCTCTCCTGTCGCCACCCCTTTTCCCTTGATCTGGTGCTTTATGGCCTCCATGTCCGCCGCCATCTTCCTTATTAATTCATCTTGCCCCCTCACGCGGTCCTCCAGAACTTAAGGATGAATCCTCCATCTTTGTCTGTCGGGACTTTGTGAACGAGAGTGACGGGGGCTGTTAGTCCGCCTCCTCCCCCTTGCATCCCTCTTGGGATTCTGTCGCTGTGGCTCCAAGTCCGCCATGGGAGGGATAGAAGGTAGGCCTTCGCGCCTTGCACCCCCCTCTGGTGTTTGTCCGTTGATGGCGGACTGCGGCAAATCTTCGTTGTGCGCCATTACTTCTAAAGAGGAAAAGCTTAATCAAGAGGTTTTGTTCTAGTCTGATCTTCCCACAGACGGCGCCAATTGTATGGGCACGAAATATTCTTCCCGTATAATCCTGTTGATCAAGATTGCGCTCCTCCGTACGTCGTCGCTTTATTCCCTGAAAACACAAATGTGAGCTAGCCGGCGGGTGTGTGCGGGATACCTCTCCGATGCCTAAGTCAGCAAAATAGACAAATAGACAAAAAGCTCTGTGTATTCGAGAGTCAAAAGTTGTGTTACCTCTCCATAGGTGATGTTGTGAGCTTTTATAGGTTCCATGTGGCACAATCCTACTAGGACTCTTACTCCTCCATGTAGAGTCTTCCTAGGAGTCATACTCCCGAAAGATAATGCTTATCCTTTAACACCCTCCTCACTGCTTAAACCAAGTGAGATGGTTTTACTATGGTCGGACTCCAATATGACCGAGGTAAGCATGGCTATGCTAAGCCGCAGACTAGACCGAGCTAACTTTAGCTCGGCTCTTCCATTCACTGCTCTTACTCCGGTTTCTCCCAGTGCTAACCATGGTATGTCTAGACCGGGATAACCAATACCGTGGTCCCGACCGGGATAACTTCATGTGTGACGACCGAGCTTACCGTAAGCCCTTTGAGACCGGAGTAACTTCAAGCCTCTTTTGGACCGGAGTAACTTCAAGCCTCTTTTGGACTGGAGTAACTTTATTGCCTTTTTACTCAGCCCTTCGTACTATGCCCCATAACGGCCCATTACCCAGCTCGGCCCAATTTTCATATAAATTACCCTCTCATATCTCAATATGTATCTCTATATTAATATAATCATTAATACATATATCTCAATATCTATCTCTATATCTCAATATTAATGATTATATTGGTCTATGAGGTCGATTTCTTTTGAGGTAGGCTTGTGTCTATTTGTAATTAGATTGGACCATACTGTCGGGTCCCATGGGGTCACCATGTAACCCATATTGATAATTTAAACTGTTCAACATGTAGGACTTGTCAAATTTTTAATATTTGTAATTTGTATAATGAGTGGGATAAATAATAATGTCATAACTAGTGTTGGTACACTAGTTAGTATACTAATTGATGCATGTAGCGCCACCGATATATATATATATATATATATATGTACATTAATACAATAACTAATACATTAATAAGAAATATTATGGTACATACCCTTCAAAGGGTGTGCACAATATGTACATTATAATTAAAAAGAAAAATTGTATAATTTTAATTTTTTGAATTATAACTTAAAAAAAAAAGAAGAGAAATGTCATAATTAAACATAACATGAGACATAACTAAAATAATGTCATAATTAAATAAGAAAATTAATTATAACTAAATAAGAAAATTACATAACTAAAGATGCATATGATACATCTTTTTTTTTTAAAGATGTGTATATTAGAATTTTCCTACATTAATATATTTAGAAAAAATTACAAATCAATTGTATTCTAAAAAAATAATTACAAGTTTATGAAAAAATTTATGACATTAATAACTAAAATTTGTAAGGATTATCAATAATTTGATTTTTGTTTTTCTAAGTATACACTAACTTATTATTGAGCAATCAAATACAACAAAATTATTTTTTGAAAAAAAATATTATATAGAAAAAATTTCTGCTAAAAAAGAGAACAATATTAGAAATACCAAAAAAAATGTTAAACATTATGCAAGTAATGTTAAGGATAGAGGGCCTCGTTTGGGAACAGACTTTTTTAGTAACTTTTTAATTTTTTAACTAAAATGTGACGCAAAAAAAAAAAAAAAAAAAAACAAAAAAAAAACTAGTATGTTTTTGCAAAAAGATGTGCAAAAAGTTGAGAGAAAAAGAAATCTTTGATTTTTTTATGTGGGTTGTTGATTTTTTGGTTTTTTTAATAGCTTTTTGATTAAAAAAGTCATTTACCAAACAAGGCCTAAACACAAATATCTCACAAATGGTGGGTCCTACACATGAGTCTTGCATTATGTGGGTCTCACTTCTTGTGAGATGTCTATGTCTCATTATGTATTTAGTCATCAGTAAACTAGACTTATATTATATGGATCCCACAGCTATATGAATATTTTTTAATATATTTGATAATTTATTTTGAGTCTCTAACAATAAATAAATAAAAAAATCACTTAATTGATTTTATTAGGGGGATTACTCATCAATGGTAGTCAAAAAAATTATTTACAAAAATATGATAAACAAAGTTGTCGTTTGGCAAAAACATTTTTAGTTGACTTGGCAAAGTTGGAACATTTTTAACTTAAGATTAAAAAGTTTATTTGAGTTAATTTTTTTGAATTTTTTTTTATTTACTTTTGTGAGTGAAAAAGTGAAATAATTATAATTTAAATATAATATTTTATTTTATGAATTTTTTAACCCATTTTATCATTTAGTGGCTATTTTAGCCCCACCTGGCTTTGCCAAATGAAGTCATAATAAATACTAATAACTGAAATTATCAACTTTCCAGCTAATGTGTAATAATTTTGAAAAGAGTTATGCAAGGGATCTCAAATAAATTACCAAATAAATTATTAAATCTTTTAAATGAGTGTGGGATCCATACAATACCAAATAAATTATCAAATCTCTCACATGAGTGTGAGACCCACACAAATCACATGTGAGTGGATTCCACACCCATATGAAAGATTTGATAATCTATTTAATAATTTATTTGGGATTCATACCATTTCTCTCTGAATTGTAATCTCTCCATTTTCTTATCCTACACTATATAAACCTCTAAAAACCCATGAAATTTCATATTCAGCTATCACTTCCTCCTACACACACACGCAGACTCACACACACAAACACATTGAGTAGAGAGAAAACAAAGAAAGGGCTCTGAGAAAATGGACCACCTCCACCGACACATCCTCCTAGTAACATACCCAAGCCAAGGCCACATCAACCCATCCCTCCAATTCGCCAAACGCCTTGTTAGAATGGGCGTCAAGGTCACCTTGGCAACACCATTCTCCGCCATCAACCGCATGACCAAAACCGCCACCACCCCTACTCCGTCACAAGGCCTAACCATTACGGGCTTCTCCGACGGCTGCGATGATGGCTACAAACCCGGTCGCGATGACCTTGCCCACTACATGTCCGAGCAGCGTCGGCACGGTTCAGAAGCTGTCAAACAACTCATCACAGCGACCGCAGACAGAGGCCAGCCTTTCACCCGTGTGGTCTACACCACCCTCCTCCCCTGGGTTGGCCGTGTCGCAACTAGCCTGAACTACCCATCCACATTTCTCTGGATTCAACCCGTCACCATTTTAGATATCTACTATTATTACTTCAATGGTTATGCTAATTCCATTAAACCCAATTGTAAGAATGATCTCTCATTGTCTATTGAATTGCCAGGATTACCAATTCTGTCTAGTCGTGACCTTCCCTCGTTCTTTCATCCATCAAACGAGCACGATTTTGCGCTTCAGATATTCAAAGATCATTTAGATGTACTTGATCAGCAAACAAACCCGACAGTGCTGGTAAATACTTTTGACACATTGGAGTCGGAGGCACTACGGGCCATTGAGAAGATCAGGTTTATTGCGGTGGGACCACTAATTCCGTCAGCTTTCTTGGATGGGAAGAATCCTTCTGACACTTCTTTTGGCGGTGACCTGTTTCAAAAATCAAGAGATTATATTGAATGGTTGGATTCGAAGGCGGATGGGTCTGTGGTTTATGTATCATTTGGAAGCATTTCTGAGCTTTCGAAGCAACAATCGGAGGAGATTGCAAAGGGATTGCTAGAAAGCCATCGACCATTCCTGTGGGTGATACGGCCAAACGAGAATGGTGAGAAGAAAGACGAAGATAAGTTAAGTTGCGAAGAGGAATTGGAAAAACAAGGGATGATAGTGCCGTGGTGTTCTCAAGTGGAGGTTCTTTCGCATCCGTCTTTGGGGTGTTTCGTGACTCATTGTGGGTGGAATTCTACGTTGGAGAGCTTGGTTTGCGGGATTCCTGTGGTTGCTTTTCCACAGTGGACTGATCAATCGACGAATGCAAAGCTTATGGAAGATGTTTGGAAGATCGCAGTGAGGGTGACAGAAAATGAAGAGGGATTAGTAAAAGGGGGAGAGTTTGGAAGGTGTATAGAGATCGTGATGGGAAGCAGAGAGGAAGGGGAAGAAATGAGGAGGAATGCTAAGAAATGGAAGGGTTTGGCAAAGGAAGCTGCAATGGAAGGTGGATCATCGGACTTGAATCTCAAGGCTTTTCTCGGTGAAATTTGAGATAGTCATTCATGAGAATGACGTATTGTACTTTTTCTCCTTCTTTCGAACAGGAATAAAATGTATGTCGGAAAGTCTGAGTCGTTTTTATTTTTTTTTGTGTATTTTGTTATTAAAACTTCAAAATATCATAAATTTAATTTTACTTGCTTGTTATAAATATATATATATATATATATATATTTTTTTTGTATATTGTACTTTTATTGTCGATCTCGCATAGTAAAATTGTACCACATTTACTTCTACTTCCCTAACATAGCTTTCGTTTGAATAGTGGGTTGACTTTTTGACTTTTTAAACTATTTAGCCTGGGTTAAAAAGCTTGATTTGGGAATAATTTTTTGACTTTTTGACTTTTTTGACTTTTTTGTGAGAGAAGAGTGTAATAATTATGGGTTAGATGTGATGTTTTGTTTATTATGACTAAAATAGTTGTCTTTTGTAACTAAAATAACCCGAAACTAACTTGCCAAACGGAATAATTGATTTAAAAACCAAACCAAGAAATGAAATTTAATAATGTAAATGAATTTTGTGACTTAAACCTTTCATAATTCAGTTAGAATCAACTAATGAAAATTTCTTGTACTGCACTGAGGCAATCACGGGAAATTATTCAATAATTCCAGAATATCATGTGGTTATACTTTAAATCAATCACTAATTACTTAGTCTTATGTTATTTCCTTATCGCCAACATAAATCGTGGGCCTCTACTACCCTCTACTAATTAAAACCTTACGGAGTACCACGTATCCATATTTTCGAAATACTGAAAAATCACCCGGCAATCACAACATTAGATTTTGCTAAATGTAAATCTTATTAAATTCTGAATTGCTATTTAATCTTTACCTTCTGGTTTTTCTAAAACTCTGAACTTGATTTTATATAAACTCTGAACTTGATTTTATATTTCAATATGAAGATTCACTGTTTTAATTGCTTGGTTGCATTTGCAGAGTTTGATTTATTTTTCTTTTCCAATATGTTTTCGTTTCAAATTTCTAATGTTTGCTTGATAAGTTTGAATTTATTTATATATTTATCTTGCATACATATAGTTCAATAAGATAGTACCCCCATCTTGTTATATTCAATTTCCCGTCCCAATAAAGGGTCATGTACAAAAAAATAAAAAATAAATAAAATAAAGGAACATGTATACTGGTTATTTTCCTCTCTTAATGGACATGTTTAGTTAACAAAATTATTGTTGAAGAAAAATGGTTGAATAAGAAATTGCCTCATAAATGTGTATATAACTTACACATTTAAGGCTCATCAGTTTTACAAAATTGATTGGGCAGTTTTGCTAGCATTAGTTGACAGTCTTGATGGCTAGAGGCTCATCCCCTCTCTCCCATGGTGTATAAAAGGAGGCCCTATTCCTTGAAAAGATATATAGAATTTTTTTTTGACATCCATACACTGTCAGTCTACTTCTCCTATAATTTTCTTCCTGAGAGAGAGTGCTGCCGTTGTCCGTTCGCTAAGCTAATCAGAAGGTGCTTCCGTTGTAGCTGGTAAAAACCGTCGTATCTTGGGAAATAGACACCGGCGTACCTCCAACACCCAACGGTGAGGCAACGAATCTATTTTAAGGAGACTGTGGTATCACACAGGCTTCGGTTTGCTTCCTTTAATCATTTTATATTTTATCTGTATTTTATTCACCATGTTATTTTTCCTGGGATTGAAGATTTGTTTTGTTCATCTCATAATTTTGCGATATGCAATGTGAAATTATGTAATGTGAGTAGGTTTTCCCAACAAGCTTAAAATAGATTCGATGTTTATCATAGAATTAGATTAATAGATTCATAGGTGTGTGTAATAATTTTGCATGTAATTGGCCACTGGTAGTACTAGCGAGTTAATTGGTTTATTAGATGCATGTATACAGGGTTAAGCTTTTGATTTTGCCATTTTGTGTATGCTACTGTTTGGTCTTCCCATGGCATGGAATAGGCCACTGTTATCAATAGGGAAGAAGAGTTCCATTGGTGCAACGTTAATTCACTGTATTTTCTAATTAATTTATTAATTTATGGTGTACCGGTTCATGCCTTGTATTTCTAGATTTACATGCTTCTAGTTCACATGCTTCTAGTTTACAATATAAATTACATGTTCATTCGGGTTTAATTTTTAGTGTAATTTACATTTCTAGCATGTTTATTAGGTAGTAAATTTTCATGTAACTTGTACCTATTAATCTTTAATTTAGGTATGGAGTTGTAAAGTTTATAACTTGCCTATATTTAAATTCATGTTAATTTCTCTAGAATTATTTGCATGTTAATTATGTCATTTGCAATTCTTGCCTAGTAATGTGATTTAAGTATTTAGGAGTTATAAAATGTTTGTAACTTGCGTCAATTAATTACATGTTTAGTGTACCATAAGTTCATATGTAACCTTTACCAATTTAAAATATGGTTTAATTATATTTAATTTAGGTCTGTAACTTATATAGTTAATTACATATTTATTATGTAATTAATTTTTTACAGTTTTTTTTAGTTTAAATTCTAGATGTGTAACTTAAGGGTTGGTTTTAATCTTTACTTACAGTTATTTATTTGCAGGAATACCTATGGAAATGGGAAAAAGGATTAATTTGGACTAAATATTTAAAGCAATTGTTTGCTTGAGTGTTCATTTGTGGTTATTCACCAATATGTAAAGCACGTTTTATTTGCTTATAATTATTATAGCAATTGTGTTGTAATTGCTTGTACAGTTTGGAACTTGGTGTGTTTAACCTAGTTCATCCTTTGGAAAATTTAATTCTTAAAGTTGTTTCCCATGGACTAGGAGTCAACATGCTCTTGAAAGTTTTGTCTAAGGTTAACTGGGTTTTAAATGGGACCGGTGTGACCCCTCCAGTTTTCCTGGAAACTTTCCTGACCATGTTCGATTCTAGGTTGCGTGGTGAGACTAGTTTTGAATTAAATTTTCAATTGTGGGATTTTCTAGTGTTATGTTTGATTTCTGGAAATACAGAATAGTAAAAATTCTGCTGTAATTTTTCCGAAATGGCAACTGTCTCTGATGCTGCTACTGCTGCTGCTAATGTTGGTGGGGATCCGAACCCCGAGGCGACTGGCTTGCCAACCCCTGCTGTGACCTCTGTGGTCAATCCTCCTGTTGTTACTCCGACTATTCCGGGAGGACCGCTCAATCATCACGAGCGCTCGGAGAAGTTCACGGGAGTGAATTTCAAGAGATGGCAGCAGAAGATGCTATTTTATTTGACTACTCTAAGCCTTGCGAGGTTTCTGAGTGAAGATGTACCAGCCGTAGAGGAGAATAAGCAAGATAAACAAAAGCTCATGGCTTTGGACGCTTGCAAACAAGCAGACTTCTTATGCTGGAATTACATTTTGAACGGCTTGGCGGATCCACTTTTCAACGTGTTCTATGCCAAGAAATTGGCTAAGGAGTTGTGGGATGCCTTGGACAAAAAGTACAAGACCGAGGATGCTAGGGTAAAGAAATTTATCATCGGCCGGTTCTTGGACATCAAGATGGTGGACTCTAAAACTGTCCTGAGTCAAGTCCAAGAGTTCCAAGTGATTCTGCACGAGATACATGCAGAAGGGATGGTCCTAAGTGAGTCATTCCAGGCAGCTGCTTTGATTGAGAAGCTGCCTAACGGTTGGAAAGACTTCAAGAACTACTTGAAGCACAAACGAAAGGAGATGACAGTCGAAGAGCTCATTGTCTGGCTCCGGATTGAAGAGGACAACAGGAAGAAAGGAGGGAGTACCTCCACTGTCAAAGCCAACATGGTTGAGCATGGCGAGTCCTCGGGGGCGAGGAAAAAACCACTGACAGGCAAAAGCTCAAAGTTGGGGGCTAGAGGAGGAATCTCCAAAAGGCCAACCTACAAGCCAAAGGAGCCTACTTTTAGGTTCGATGGCAAATGCTTCAACTGTGGAAGTGACGGGTATCGGGCAGTTGATTGTCTGAAGAAGAGCCCTACAGGAAAAACCCTCCCCAACACAAAAATCGGGCACATATGGCTGAAATGGAGGAATTGTCACATGATGTGGACAACATGCATTTGTCAGCCATCGTGTCAGAAGTGAACATGGTGGGGTCAAACCCGAGGGAGTGGTGGGTGGACACTGGGGCCACTCGTCATATTTGTGCAGAGAAGAGAATGTTCACAACTTTCGAGCCGGTTTCAAACGGGGAGAAGTTGTTTATGGGAAACTCTGCAACCTCAGCTGTTGAGGGTAAAGGCAAGGTGATCCTGAAGATGACTTCAGAAAAAGAGCTGACTTTGAACGATGTCCTTTTTGTGCCGGACATTCGTAAGAACTTTGTCTCGGGGTCTCTCCTAAGCAAGCATGGCTTCCGCATGGTGTTTGAATCAGACAAGGTCGTGTTGACCAAGGGCGGGGTCTATGTGGGGAAGGGATATATGTCAGGTGGTATGTTTAAATTGAATGTAATGACACTTATCTCTAAGATTAATGAGAAAGCTTATTTTTCTACTTATATGCTTGAGTCCCCTAATTTATGGTATGGTAGATTGGGTCATGTAAATTTTGACTCTTTATGTAGATTAATCAAGTTAGATCACATACCATTTTTCAAGATTAATCCACAACACAAGTGTGAAACTTGTGTAGAAGCAAAATTGACAAGGTCTTCTTTTCATTCTATTGAAAGAAGTACCCAGCCTTTGGGTTTAGTGCATAGTGATGTGTGTAACTTGAAAGTTGTACAATCATGTGGTGGCAACAAGTACTTCATCACTTTTGTTGATGATTGAACTAAATACTGTTATGTGTATTTGCTTAAAAGCAAAGACGAGGCTATTGCTAAATTTATTCTTTTTAAGAATGAAGTTGAGAATCAATTAAGCCGGAAAATCAAGGCATTGAGAAGTGATCATGGTGATGAGTATGAATCCCCGTTTGCCGAGACTTGTGCTCAATTTGGGATTATTCACCAAACCACAGCGCCTTATTCGCCTCAGTCAAATGGTGTTGCTGAGCGGAAGAACAGGACGCTGAAAGAGATGATGAATGCAATGTTGATAAGTTCTGGGTTGCCACAGAACTTATGGGGGGAAGCAATTCTCTCCACGAATTATATTC